TATTCCTTACTAAATCTCTTCCAAATTGTCAGAGACACCTCCAAGAATGCCACAAAAGCATTGCAAAGATGGGGGAGATGCTCTGCCATTACCTATACTGCCTTTATTGTGTCTGGCCTCTTCTACTCAACAGATGACAGTGTGTTGATGTCCACTAGTCTATTAAGGAGCTCATGACCTGAGACGATTTCAATGTTGTGTTACTGTTGCTTAGCCTTGTCTGTAAGAAATATTACCTCTAAGGGATTCAAGTCTGAGTTCAGGATTAGCTCAGGTAAGTTAATAAGTTTTTTAATGTGAGACTTCAGTTTTGCAAGAAGTGGACTACATTCTATCACATTCATATCCTCCAATCCAGACTTACAAAGCTCCCAGATGTATGGATACAACATGCTTTCCAGGTATAAGGCTGTTAACATGTATTATGATTAATGATACAATTACAGACGCTACAGTAATGATAAGATGATTAATACACATATAAACGGAACGGACACAGAACAATGAGACATGTATTGGATACATGATACAAGACATGTATCGGATACACAATAAGTATCAGATACAAGATAATGATACATTGGATGTCTAAGACATACAGACAAATGAATAACATAAAAGCGAGCAACTTAGTAACTAAATATATATCATTATCAGGGTCTATGCCCTCATTACTTGTGTGATAACCTAAGAATACACATTCTAACAGGTTATGAGCCTTGTACTCTCTGCTTAACACCTCACATTACTACTATGAGACTATGCTACACTACTTTGCATTGATACTATGAATCTATGATAGACTCACTAAGTACCTGCAATCTCTATACACTAAACGAAACTGTACCAAACTCATCTACACCTTTAAATAACTTGCAAAGGATGAATACAAGTCATTACAAACCTGCCAATGTACCTAAACACTTTGGACACAACATTGCACAACTAAAAGACACATCCAGATTCAAGATATAGAAGTATTGGATTAACTCTGCTATTGTGGCAACAGGCTATATGCACTTGTTCACAAATGAACCAAAGCCTGAAGACATCAAGGTTGTGCACACAATCTACACATCAATAATTGATAAAGTAGTGGATCATATAATGGCTAACTTTATGCATACTAGAATGTTGATTAAAACTCTTATGAGCAGATTAGAAGAACGTTTCAACCCTCATACAGTTACACATAAAGTATACAATGAGTCTTTGCTATTTAAATGTAATGACCATGTTAAAAACTTTGGACAAGTACTTGATAAACTAGAGCAGATATATGTACAGCTAGTAGCAGACGATTTAAAACCTACAGACACTACGTATCAAGCAGCTATCTATGCTGCAACCCCTCCTGAATATAGTAGTACTATTACAGTTATGGAACAAGCTTGAGACATGTTTTACAATAGAAAACCCAAATCCAAGTATCAACCTATCAAGCTGTAAAGACTTATTACAGTACTGCACCAAGCATTTAATGATTTTTGCATCAAAAACCCTACACAATACATAAACAACAAGCCTACAATACGTGGACAGGCAAATATGTTTTGTACAAAAGATAAAAAGTATGGAAAGAAGGGAAACAACAAAAATATGAGCAAACCAACCCCTGCATTGAAATGCTTCAATTGCAGCAAATCAGAGCACTTCTCCTATGATTGCTGGAAGTCACTGACTCAATCAATGCTAGATGCCTGAGCCAAAAAGGCTAATCCTTCAGCTAACACAATAGAAGCAATGGAAGCAAAATCTGTACCAGCAGCAACTACACTACACATGAACACATACATTGAACAGGTGCCAGACATCGAAATGACAGATGTACCAGCCTCTCAGCAGGCAAATACTATTGCAAACACAGACACAAACGACCCATTTACTAACTGGGTATGTTATAATAATATCTTAGACAAAAATAACATGCTAATAAATAAATATATCCCTAATACAATTGATATAATTGATTCTGGTGTAACAATTCATACTACACCATATTACTTTCACCTTACAAATGTACGAAACGTATCCCCAGTAACAGTTACACTTACAAACAAATTAACAGTGACTCTTACAAAGGCTAGAGATATGATTATTGAAATTAAAAGGGGAAATTCAGGAAATACACACAATCCTGTAATTAGCAAAATAATGTTAATACATGTTTATTATCATTCAGATTTGAACTTTTCACTTATAAGTCAAGTGTTATTATGTAACAACGGTTTCACATTCATGTTCAAACAAGTAGAATGTATTATTTATTGTGGACAACACAAAATAGGAACGATTAAACTTGAAAACAACCTATATGTGTTAAGAAACACTCATTACATGAATTCCATGAGTGGAATCAGTATTTACAATCTACATAAACGTCTCGGTCATATCAGTTATGATTATATTAAACGTTTATTATGGAACAATATGATGATATTATCTCAAAAGATAACAAACTTTGATGAAAAACAATGTGTTGATTGTATAAAAGTAAACATTGAACAAACAGCACATTCAAAAACAAGATCTTCAGAAATAAGTGTAAACTACAGTAATATAATACATATGGATATAATAGGTCCAATATCCCATGAAGGATATAAGAATATATGATATCTATTAACATTAGTTGATGATGCAACATGTTGGGTATCTTTATTAAAATTACGAACGAAAGATGACACATATACTCAGTATGTTTAATGGAGCACAAACATATTTACACAACACAGTATACAAATAAAACAATTGTAAAGCAATAATGATAGAGTATTCTGCAGGAAATTCTTCCAAGAATACTTAATTAGTTAAGGAACAAAATCCAGACTAACAGTAAAGTATACACCACAACAGAATAGAGTAGCAGAACAAATGCATAAAACAATATTTAATCAAATATGTGCCTCTATTACTTTGCAAAACATTCTATTATGTTTATAGGCAGAAGCAGCAATGTTACAAGTATATATTCACAATAGAACTCCTTGAAGAGTAATAGGATATGTAACTCCTTATTATAAACAATACAGACACAATGCTAGTATTGACAACATACACAAATTCAGTCAATACATTATAATACAGAATGAAAACCTATCTAAAATTACAGATAGAGGTTATTACAGATGATGGATAGGTTTCGACAATAATTCAAAAGGTCACATTACATGGCATGATAGAAAAATAACTATTGAACATAATATACAATTCCTTGACACAAAACCTTCACAAATTGAAGGGGACTTGGAAGACATCCAAGAAAACGAGTTAGATATTAAGGAAAACAATGACAAATCCGAGTCCAAAGGACCTAGCAACAGAGATGAATACTACTGCCAAGTACACAAACAAGGACAGACACACATTGAAACAAAATCCAAAGGAAACAAGATAGGATTGGATACTCTGGAAACTCAAATGAAAACTCCCTGAGTAATCAAACGTCTTCAACATGTTTCTCCTGGATGTAACAACCCAAACTATTGCTCTGAAACGGTTCCTCATTTACAACAGGACCTTAGTGCATCCATAGAGGATGAAGCAACACTCTCAGAGAAAGCAAATCACTAACAGAAAATACAAAATATGTGGAAGTTAGTAGAAAACATACAATACAATGAATCTGATTAAGAATCAGACAAAACTACACAACTAAAACACTCTACTCGAAAGTGCAAAATTATGGAACGTTTGGGTGAAACGAATTTACCTAGTAAATGCTCAAAAGGTCTATCATACATTGACGAAACGAATATTATGATTTATCTTAACAAATTTAACAAACTACATACAGAAATAATGACAGATCCATTATCATATAAAGAAGCAATCAATAGAAGTGATTGTGAGCTTTAGAATAAAGCTATAGACAATGAAGTACAACAATTAATACAATCCAATACTTAGGAGACAGTATATCCTCCTAATAACACAAATGTTATTGGAACACAATTTGTATATAAAACAAAACGTCTAGCAAATAATTCTATCAAAAAACAAAAAGCTAGATTAGTTGTACAGGGAATATTTCAACAAGACAGCAAAGATTATTATAATAATAATCTATTTGCACCCACTACACACATATCTTCAATAAGACTTGCTATTGTATAGGGATGTTTAAAGAACTACAAGATACATCAAATAGATGTTAAATCTGCATACTTAAATGGAGAACTAGATAATGACAAAATAATATTTATTAAACCTCCACTGAGTGATTTAATAAAGTTAAAACCTAGACAAGTATTATGATTGCACAAAGCATTATACGGTTTAAAACAAGCTAGACGACAATAGTATAAAACTCTATACTGAATACTTAATACGATTGGTTTTACATGATCAGAATATGACTTTGTAGTATTCTATGTAAAGAAGAATGAACATACAGTTGTAATACTATTAGTTCACGTCAATGATATAACTATTGTTGTACAGAGTAATAATATTATCAATATGATTAAAAACTCTCTACAATCACATATAGAAATTACAGACAGAAGCAAATTACATTGGTTACTAAGCATAGAAATCAAACATAATAGAAACAAACGAATGATAATGATAAGACAAAGACATTATATCGAAAACGTATTACTTCAATATAACTTGCAAAACAATAGGAATTTACAAACACCTATGCAACCAAATACTCAATTAGTTACAGATGATAATCTACCAGAGGATGAACATGCATTTATGTCCAAGATACTGTATATGAATATGGTTGGATCCTTATAATATATTGTAGATTGTACACAACCAGACATAGTGTTTATAACATCCCAACTTGTAAAACATTTAAAACACCCAAGCATGTTACATTACAATGCTGTAGTGCATTACATACAATACTTGAAGGGGACCAAAGACAAATGGTTAATCTTCAGACAAGGAAATCATAATAATATCACTGGTTATACAGATGCAGACAGAATGATGTAAGAAAATAATAAAGCAATATCCAGATACACATTCTTCTTAGGAGAATCACTCATATCTTAGTCAAGTAAAGGACAGAAACTAGTATCCTTATCTATGTACAAAGTGGAAATAATAGTGCTATCAAATAGAATACAAGAAGCTATAACATTACAATACCTAGCAGATGAGATACTGTAGATCTCTGATACACTTACAAATATTTATTACAATAACCAAGTAGTAATTAAATCTATAGAAGTGGACAAAACGAAATACTCAACAAGAACCAAGCATATTGGCTTACAATACAATTTTATTAAGTGTTATGTTGAGGAACAACTTATTAATATTAAGTATGTTCAAACGGACGATCAAAGGGCAGATATCTTAACTAAATCATTACATGTTCCAAAGATCAAACACCTTACAGACTTAATAGGTCTTGTAAATGTTTGAAGGGGACTGTTAACATGTATTACAATCAATGATACAATTACAGACACTACAGTAATAATAAGATGATTAATATGCATATAAACAGAACAGACACAGAACAATGAGACATGTATCAGATACACAATACAAGACATGTATCAGATACACAATAAGTATCAGATACAAGATAATGATACATCGGATGTCTAAAACATACAGACAAATGAATAACATAAAAGCAAGCAACTTAGTAACTAAATATATATCATTATCAGGGTCTACACCCTTATTACTTGTGTGATAACCTAAGAATACACATTCTAACAAAGGCAAATATGGCCAGCTCAGTATGTGTAGGTAAGTCATTTAATCCCTTTAGGATATTTGACTTGAGATGATTGAGGCCAGGTTTTTCTTTCAAATCACAAATAAAGTGTATATAGTTAACATAGAAATTGAGTCAAGAGATAACCTCCTCTACTGCCTTAAGATTTGACAAATATTGTGTATTTAAAGTATTAGGGAACATAAAAATACAGTTCTCCTTCTGTAATACATAGCTCTAGAAGGTATCATACTGTCCCTTTTTATTGTCTTTGTGATTTAATAGTACACCCATCAGAGAGACAAGTTTTGCTACACTGCCAGTTGATACCTTGACTACTTGATTTACTGCTGGATCTTCTGTGTCACTATCCACTAATTGGTGAGCTATATTGTTTTCTTTATTTATAAGCTGAACAGGCCTAAATCTTATTATCTCCCACATTTTCTTCAAGCCTGTAGATCCCCCTTTTAATGTGTTCAAATCTTTATACATACTACATCCTGCACAAACCCAGAGATTGTAAGTTATACTATCCTCCTCTAGAAGATTTAGGTATGTCTCACTGTTTAGCTCATACAAAATTGTGTTCTTATACTTGATTTTGTGCTCCTCTTTCTTCTTCTCTACAAGAGCCTCCCAGACCTTCTCTCTGCCAAGCTCCTTGATTTTTTCCTTCAAGGCTTTAGTAAGAATATCTTTGTGTTCTTCCTCAGATAAGTTATAAAATGTTCTTTCTCCCAAGGCAAGTCCTACTCTTTCTTTTTTCCACTCACTAAGCTGACAATGTTTTGCTTTCTAGTCTTCTACATGGTCTCTATGTGTACCAACTAGTTTCAACACAAAAATTTTTTCATTAAGATGTTCCTTTAGGATGTCTCTATTCTCAGCAAGTAGAGAATCTCAATATACAATAAGCACTTCTTTTATTACTGTTAAGTCTCTGTTTTTTTGCATTTTGGCTTAATGATTTACTAACATCCTTACACCTACTAGACAAACTTTCTGCTTAAGGGTAGAAGAAGTTTCATTACTGTACAATTGTAGGGCTTTCAAATTAATGTGTAGAGCCTTAAAGTTTTGATTTCAGTGAGTAGTACTGTCAGAACCCATTATACAAGCTATTAAAGTAGGTATATACACTTGATTTCAGTATCCTAAATACAAATCATGTGTTCAATTACCTGGTGATACACTTATTTCATAACCTAACTGTATATTAGCTACTATACTGCCTTCTTCAACAATCTGAGAGACTATTTTCTTGTGTATAAGTCCTCTGGATTTTGCTCAGGAAGACTAGACTAGAGAGAAAAAAAGCTATATAAAGGTATGTATTACTTTTCCAATCTTTGTCATTGGACACTCATAGCTAACAAGTTTGCACACAAGTGTACAAACTTTTGGGGTATACCAGCCCTTTTCTACAAGGTTTGAGGTGTGTTTCATTTTGTTTTTGAATTTTTTGTTTTCTTTAATCTTTGCTAGAGCCTACTAAAGATGTTTCTAATACACATTACACTACTTACAAATTATTGCAACCTCAGTATGTAGCTTTTCTTTGCTCAAGCATAATGTATCCAAAATTGATGATTGTATGTCCAGGGACAGTTGTATTCTCTCTAGACAGGAGTATACTACCTAAAGTTTGTCTTACACTTGTAAAAGAGTAGTTTTGCACATTTCAGCCCTAGAATTTGTAGCAAGGAGCTCCTTACTTGTGAGTACCAGCCTATTATCCCTTTCTCTCAGTTTCTGACCTAATCTTGCTAAAGAATTCTTCAAACAGTGAAGGGATTGTGTATATGTCTCCAAACAAGCCTTTAGACAACTGTAATGTTCTATAGTGTGCTCTGAGTCCAGACAATTTGATTCCAGTAATATTAGTAAGTCCTGCTTCTCTTTAAGTTTGATGTGCAGTTTTCTGACCACTTTTGTAAGAGTACTGGAACTATCTCTACTTTCAGTGACACACTTGCAAAGGTTACTAATCACCTGTAAATAATTACAGGTGAGTTTTTCTCAACACTCAAACAGTTTTGTTGTGTGTTCTAAGCTCTTTCTTGTGTCTTCCAACTCTTTCATTGTAGCCAAACAGGCTACAGACCTTGTTCTGTACAATTCTAGCATAGGAGGAGGCAGAGGGCCTAAAGTATTGAGGCAAAGGTGATTTCTTACTCTGTTTAATTGTTTTTTACATGATCTTAAAGCTACCATGGCTATTATTTAGTAGTTAGTTTCATGTAGTTTATTTTAGTTATTTTTTTAAGAATTACCAGTGGGTGTACAAATTAAAATTGCAAATTCTGTCATTTTAATCCTTCAGGCTACATTGAAATCTGCTGTGTCCAGACACACAAGACTGTATGCCCTTAGGTAAATCTTCTGCTTCTACTTCCCACAGATCCAATCAAGGTTAATACTTTTAAAGTTAATCATAATTCATGTAAATCTATTCTAAGAAGAATTACAGAAGGAAATTAGCTATAAAAATTATTCACAAAGATATTAGTAGTTTTGTGTGTAATTTTAATGTTTCTCACTCAATTTTTAATAAATTTTAATTTCCCTCTGTAAAAAGTTTCTTTACTATCTTGAAATTATTATTATTATTATTTTACTATTTTAAATTACATGTGGAGAGTGGAAAACGCTCTTACAGCAAGGTATCTAGAGGCCAGACACACTACACACTGACCTAATTGATGGATCACTTACTTTGAAACCGTGGGAACGACCGTGTTGTACAACTGAAAAGCAGACCCCTACTAACTGTGTGACAACTGTATCACTGGAAACTCTGCCCTAAGTCTCATGCTTTATACTGTATGCAACTCTCACACACCTGAGGCACAGGCTATCTCCACTCTAATTAGAGGGGTTACACAGCCCTTGTAGTCCCTCTAATTAGAAGGGAGTTCAGTCTTTTCCCCATACTGTACTTAATACTGAGCACAATACTT